TAATTTGTGAATTAATGTTGCATTTCTACGAAGTCATCCCTTTATTTTTACGTCAGGGAGCATTTCTCATAACATACAATTCATGTACGTTGCTTCTCCATTAGGTAACATTTGCTTCCCCTTGCTCCTCAAAATATAAGTATTCTTGCCAGCCTGGCTTTGTTGGTAGCACTCTCCCTCTGAGGTAGAACGGTGAAGGTTCAAGTCCACATCAGGACTTTGAAATGCGCTACATTATTGGAAGTGGTCCTGGCCAACAGTCCTCCAGATAAGATTGGTCATTCATTTCATGGCTATTTATGGGACATTATTGTACCCAAATTGGCTGCTGCATTCAATACTGCAAATACACAGTCAATTTACAGTAAACCATGTGATGTATTTCACTTTTCAATTACGTGATAAGATGCTGTATAATAATGCAATGATTATTATAATCTTCTGCAATTGCGTGCAATCTTATTGCACTACAGGTGCCAGGCTCCTCATTTAAAATGTGGAGGCAAAGTCTATGAATGTGAAGTCAGTGAACGTAGGAAAAATGTTGAAGCGCTGTAAGAGCCTGTGCTTCGATGTCACAGTCCTAGCTCCAGGAGATGCAGATGTCTATCCTATGATGTTTATTAAAATGGTAATCATTTTAATGTGACTTTCTAATAGAAAATTCTATTTATAACTCTATTGTGTAGATGGAACAAGAAAAGCAAATTTTTTAGCGAATGGTGAGCAATAGGCCCCACTCTTTCTTTATCAAGTCATTTTTATATATCAATCATTGCAAAACGCACATTGACTTGAAGGATGCCTGAGTGCATTTTTCCCGAGCCAAATAGACAGAGCCTGGATCAGTTGGTATCACTCTTCTGTGTCAGAAAGTTGTGGGTTCAAGCCCCTTGTCGGAAGTTGGAACTCATACAGTGCATGCTGAGACTTCATTGCAGGGCTGGAGGTGTTCTCCCTACCAACCTGCCCGCTCCCTCCATTCATCAGGCTCCGGTCTGCTCCATGTCTCCCGCCCGACCCGCCCTATCATCGGTGGCCGGGCTTTCAGCTTCTCTGTCCCCACACTCTGGAACTCCATCCCATGGTCCCTTTGCCTCGCTTCCTCCCTTGCATCCTTCAAGGCCAGTCTCAAGACCCTTCTCTTCGACCGTGCCTTTGGTCTCCCTCCCACCTCTCTGCCTTCCCTCACCCCTACACCACCCCTCCCCCATGCTCGGGCCTCGACACCTGACTGTTCAGCTCTTTGGGACATCTTCCCGACGTGAAAGGAGCTCTATAAATGTAAATTTGTTGTTGTTCTCTATTGTTTTCGGATGAGATATTAAACTGAGGTCCTGTCTTCCTGTTTAGGTGGGTATTAAAGATCTCATGGCAATATTTGAAAAGAGAAGGGAGTTTCTCCCAGTTTTGGCTAACAATCCCCCAAATAAAATTGGTCATTCAATTTGTGGGAAATTGGTTGCCGCCTTCGCACATAAAATACACAATCAATCCAACAACAAATTACAGTTGTATAGCATCTTTCATGTCAGGAGGACTTCTCAAGACGCTGGACAGTCAGGGATTTGGACCCGAGCAGGGGGTTGAGATCAGGAGGGGTGAAGATTAGGGGTAGGCGGGTGAGTGGCTGAAGGTGTGGTCGAAGAGGAGGGTCTTGTGACGTGCCTTGAAGGAAGCACGGGAAGGAGCAAAACAAAGCGACTGTGGGATGGAGTTCCAAAGGGTGGGGCAGAGCGGCTGAAGGCCCGACAGTCGATGATGGGATGAGCCTGGGGGTGTGTGGAGCAGACCGGAGCCCACTGAGTGGAGGGAGCGGACAAGTTGATATGGCGTCAGCAGGTCACAGCGGTAGGATGGAGCAAGGCTGTGGAGGTCTTGCTCCTTTATAGAATATCCTGTATATAGTATATACTCCACTTTATAGTAATCCTGTGCAGGGTTTTGAGATGTTCTCCCAACATGAAAAGTGTTATAAATGTAAGAATATTATTATTATTCCGTTTTTAAGAATTCTAATTCATTTAAATGGGTTATTTCAAACATCTGCTTGAATGCAGCAATTAACAATGTATCTTGAATGCATATATATTAAGAGTTTTAGTACACAAAATGTAGAAGCTAATCAATTTTTTTTTGAAACCTTTATATTAATGAGCAAGGCATAAACCAAATGAGCAATATGTGTCAGATCAAGGGTTGTGGGGCTGATTGTTATTGCCTGATGCAGGAAGACAGTGCTGAATAGAATATAAGTATATGTAAAGGATATGTAAAAGTCAAACCGAAAATGAATAACTATTGTACCTAACATCTGCTAGGAGCTGACAACTCCAGACTAGGAGCACGGCAGCAATGTCAGGGCTCATAATCAGTTATGCAATTTTGCTGCTGGGAGCTTGAATTCTATTAAAATATGAAAATTGGAGTATTGACGCACACTAACAATAGAGGGAGGGGGAGTACGCGGAGTGCTTATACGATTTCTGTAAGCATCAGCTATTTCCATTCTCTCTAGTGTGATAAGCTAGGGTTCATGGATGCTTTTAGATTGATTTGAAAGAAAATGTATATCTTTATGCTGGATTTTGTAGTTGGAAAAGTTTGGAAAGCTTGTGTTTGTGATGTACTTCCTCCATTCTACCTGACCAGACAAATGGCTTTTTCCTGGCTTCTTTTTAAAACCCATATAAGCGCACTATATAAAATAAATGAAAAAGAAACTAAAAATAATAATGCTTGCATTTGATATAATGGCTTTCACGTGGAAAGCCGTTTCAAAGCGCTTGAACTTTTTTTTCTTGTAAAGTGTGGTGACTGTGCTTTTTGTAGGTCAATCCAGCAGCCAAACTGCGCACAACAATGTTCTGCAAACAGCCGCTGAGGGATTAGTGCTGCCAACCGAGCCAAGCTATGAAAATTATTCAATTGACAACTTTGTGAACAGCTTAGCACACCGGAATTTGTGAACAGCTTAGCACAGCGAATTTCTCTTCCCGGCTTTGTGTAAATTCCTCCAAACACATTTATGAAACATTTGTGTTGCTTTCACAGAGCATGTAAAGTACAAGTCAAAGTAGTGGTCTTTGCTTCTCATGTTCTAAACCTAACTGCTCATTAGATCCTGATGGCCACGTTTATCTTCATTGACTTTGCACTCCGAAAACACTACTGCTGCCAATTTTAAAACCTTTCACCCTTGAGACATGCTGCAGCATTTGGAAATGCGAGAACCACACTTAATTCATGATTAAACAGCAATTCTTATGTGGATTCATCAAAATCTTGCACTCTGTTAATTAAATAACCAATAGATCTAATAGCCACATTTCTTAACCCAATCACTTCAAAATAAGGTATGATACAAAGGCATTTTTAAGCCCATGTGTCTAGTAGTCAAATCATTCAATTTCATTTGGGAGCTCAGCTTGCTTTGCCTTTTGGCAGCATGACTCATCTGACAAGCATTCATTTTACATCAAATCAAACTGTACGTGATCAAAATGTCCACTCCAAATGTTCTGAAGTCAGGCAATTGAGCAGTGCTGAGCAGCCTTTAAACAATGATGCCGATCACCACCTGATGTAAGCAATGTTATGTGAAGCTGCTTGGTGGCACTGACTGTCAGAGTTTTGTTACATTGTGCCTGGCAAGTTGTTGGCCTGTGGAAGCTATTAGACAGGAAAAGCCAGTGAATCCGTTCATCAACAATGCACTCACTTTATCATCAAACGCAAACCCAGCGGTAGACATTCTCTGTTGAGACATTCGGTTTTGTTTTTCTTTGTTACTGTTCTTTCATTGTGTTGGATTATTCATGATGTACTCCACAGTTAGCCGGCATCGTCAAGCAACATTCTTTTTGCAATTACTTATTTAGGACAACAAACTGATCCCCATCATTTATATTTCAGCCTGAGTTTGCAGCCCTAGTCCTTTATCTTACTGCTACGAAAATGTTCACTGACAGGTATTTGAAGCAGAACAGAAAATATTTAAAATAATATATGCAGAAAAGAATAGCAGGTCACTGTCAGACTGGACTGTAACATCTTCTTACCTAAGTCTCTATATTATAATGTCCAAATCTTAAAAGATGCAGATTCAAATTAGATCTTCAGTTAGATACTACAAGAAAACCTTATTATACAATACGACAATAAGGACTTGCATTTATATAGCGCCATTCACCTGGGATAGTGTCTCAGAGTGCTTGAGTGTCTCTGAATCTGTTTGCTCAGAAGCCATGTTATTAGCGAATTGTATCAGATTGCCGCTGATGTCAAGTGTCGTGTTGAATGCACAGAAAGTGCTACCGATGTCACATCCTGCGTATTGCACATGACTACTAGTGCCATGGATGTGAGCTGAGACTGGCTAACTCAGCACAGGATTTACAGCTTGGGGTCTGTATTGTACTAAACACTTTAGACACTAGACTGTCGGGGAGCTACACGTTCTGTACAGGTGAAGAACAAGTGTGTGCAGAGATGTAGCTGGTAAGCAGCAATTGTTGGCTTGCTTTGGTAGTTTTGAGTCCAGTATTTGAAATTCCGTGTGGGCGCTGATGCAGTTTGCATATGCTTAAATGTTAATGCATGCAATGTTAGGATATCTTGAATATCAACATATGTGTGCATGTTGACAATGAGATCAACATGTGCAGCACAGTATACTGTGGAGTGAAAATCATCAGGGATTAGCAGAGTTAGTTACTTTAGTAGGGAATGAACTGTTCCCGTGATGTGATACCACTGTTCGACAACTCATTTCTGTGCCGCTTTCAAAATCAAGGTGGATATCAGCAGCATTTCACTGTAAATTTCGGTACTGTGGTAAAACTATAAGGCAAAAGGTCTGAGATTATTTTACCTGAAAATGTACTATTTTTTCATTGGTAAGACATTCCGACTTGATACATAGATTTAAAGAACATTTTGAACCTATTATGTCAAACGTCGAACTGATACAGGTAAGAAATTGATATAGCTATACTCACTTTCTTTGTTTTGTCCATTGCCTTCAGGATTGAGATATTCAAATCTTCCAGTGCTGACAGTACATTCTCATACTCTCCCAAGTGTTGCGAAAAGTACTCTGGAAAAAAGTTTATTCAGATGGATCATGAACCATTTGCCGGCACTGCAATCAACAAATTTCTGCGCTTCTACCTACGTAAAAATTACCATATGTCTCAGCTCTGTTCCTAGTGTAAATGGGAACACTTCAACCCAAGAATCCCACTTCCATCCAACAACAACAACTTGGATTTATATAGGCGCCCTCCACGCTGGACGGCGTCTCAGAGCACTTTACAGTAATGGATCCCGGGACCGAGCTAGGGGGAGGGGGGGGAAGGTGACCAAAGGCGCGGTCGAAAAGAAAGGTCTTCAGCAGAGACCTGAAAATGGGAAGGGAGTGAGCGAGACGAAGGGAGTGAGGAAGGGAGTTCCAGAGCCTCGGGGCATAGTGGCTGAGGGTGGAGCGGAGGGCTCGGGGGACGAGGAGGAGGCCAGACCCGGAGGAACGAAGGCAACGGGTACTGTTTTGAGGAGAGAGGAGATCAGAGAGGTAGGGGGGTTGCAGAGGAGTGCAGGGACTTGAATACAAGGGTGAGGATCTTGAAGTCGATCCTCTCTGGGATAGGCAGCCAGTGCAGTCTGGCAAGGACTGGGGTGATCGGGGAGCGGAGTTTGGTGCGCGTGAGAATGCAGGCGGCAGAGTTTTGAATGATTTGGATTTTATGGATGGTAGTGGATGGGAAACCGGCAAGGACGGTGTTAGAATAGTCCAGCCGAGAGGTGACAAAGGCATGGACCAGGGTTTCAGCGGCTTTTGGAGAGAGGTATTTGCAGAGGCGGGTGATGTGTCAGAGGTGGAAGAAAGCGGTGCTGGTGAGGGACCGGATATGGGGGAGGAAGGATAATTGGGGGTCGAACCTGACGCCTAAGTTGCGTACGGGACCCACTTCCAAGATCCACTTCCAAGATCCGGGATCCAATTCCAAGAGTCCCGCTCAATCAATTTATAAAGGCGCTGCATTAGAAATGCCCACCCTTGAATTTCTTTTTGCCACTCGTTAAATTATTTATATAGATGAGAAGATGAAGAGAGAAACTTGTGTTGTTTGAGTCTGAGTTCTTACGTTTTTTTAAAATCTGGCCTGCGCTAGCATCGACGGGAATATTTTAAAGGAGGCGGGATGCATGATATCTTTTAGTTGTTGCTGAATATCAGATCAATACATTGTAACCTTTTGCTTCTAGCAGAGAAATTGGGGATAATTCTCGTCTACAGTTCACAACTTGTTGACTTTTTTTTAACAATTTAAGAAAGGATGTTTGGCCCATTACTGCTTAAAGGTCATGTTCAATCCAATGATTTATAATCTCTTCCTACTCATTCTATCTCATGAGGAAAGGTTCTGCATAATATTTTCTCAGCCCTCTAAATGGTAAATCAAACCCTTCTCAAGATCTATCTCAGCTTGAATCGCACATTTAACACCCTCGACCCTTTGCTTTCCTCACAGGCTCCAGCAACTCAGGAACCATCATGTTCAACTTAGCATTTGATCATCTTTGTCTTGACTTATCTGTGAAACCCTCAATCACAACCCTAAAACAACAACAATAGTAGATTGCATTTACATACCGCCTTTCACGCCAGAAGGATGTCCCAAGGTGCTGGACAGTCGAGGAGTTGCACCCGAGCTGGGGTTTGGATTTGGTGGTATGGGGGTGGGAAAATGACTGAAGGGGCAGTCAAAGTAGAAGGTCTTGAATCGGACCTTGAATGAGGCAAGGGAAGGGGCGAGGCAAAGGGACTCTGGAATGGAGTTCCAGAGAGTGGTAGCAGAAAGGCAGAAGTCTTGACCACTAATGGTGGGGCAGGCAGGGCAGAATAAGGGGTGAGCAGAGCAAGGCGCGTGCAAGGTGGGATATGAATTGAGTTCTTCTTGAAGATTTTAATTGAAACAATACCATACACTTGTATACCATACAACTCTGTGTGAGGGCAATATCCTGTAATCTCAAACTGTGATGATTTTTCTTCAGTCTTTTAGTGGTCAGAAAATACTTTATATCGACTCGAGAGGCTGGTACACAGATAATGTGAGTTAAGGTATTCTATTTTCCTTGTATCCTAATTTTAGGCACACAAGAACACCCATTTTCCATGATCAGAAATTAGCAGATAGTGGCACAGCAGGAGCTGTTGTTGTGGCTGAAGAAGCTCAGGTAGAGGCACTGCACACCAATGGAGAAGAGATGGCAGTGGTGGAGCATGAAGAGAAGATAGCTGGCAGCTGACAGATAGAGGACCGTGTGTTAAAAGTGAATTGTAAGGAAATGCAATTCACTTTAGACACGCAAATGAAATGCAATGCATAGTGGTTGTGCTTTCAACAGCAGCTATTAACGTATTAGGCCATGTTGCAAATCACTTGTCTTTATTAAGATGATATTGGAAGGTGTTTTGGCTAATCTAGAGGGGTGTGATCCTTAATATATAATGACATCTCTCAAAAGACTGATGAAATGGAGCATCATTTGCAATTTGTGAATGTGGCAGCATCAATGGAATCTGCCATGAAGACCACACTTCCAGAGGCTTTAGACACAGTTGGAGCATCTATCATATCTATTCCCACTGTGGGTTAAACCTACAACATTCATCATATGATATGCAGAGTAACACCACTTTCCTGTGTGTCCTGTGAAGCACTTTCAGATATCTCAACAATTTGACTATTTCAAATGCAAGAATTATAACATTTGCCTAAAAAAAGTCACTGGTATATGCTGTGAAGTGCTTTGAGTCCTCCTCCCAACATGAAAGGCATTATATCAAATGTAAAGATTGTTATTGTTATTATAGTTATTCAAACTGGATGAACTAGTCCATTCTCTGTTGGTTGTGGCAGGAGAGCTGTATGAAGGAGATTGGCTGACAGTGCTTCAATAACCTCTTTAAGGCAGAAGTAGATAACAAGCTGGTTGACTGCAGCCATTTCCCCCAAAGTGGCTTTGAAGATCCCTATGACATAATAAATTGAGGGCAGTAGTCACCATCGGCCTGGATCAGATGGCACACCTGGTGAAACTAAACGTCCTGTTGCACTACTCCTCTGCTGTGCCCACTCTCCTGAGATGTACCTGATGCACTTCATGCAGCTCCATAGCTCTCTGCACTGTGGGCCTGCACTCTCCTCCTTTACTGCAATATACCCAACACCAGCCACTACATCTGTCATGTCCAAGAGACTCCTCGTTCAAGTCACATAAGCAGATCTCTAATGAACTAAAACTGCTTTTTTGCTTAACGTCTGTCTTTTTACAGCACAATCCTTCATAACAGACAAATTCCACCTGAGCTTAGATTTACTTTATCTATGAAACATTTTAGAGCATCCAGAATTTGTCATGCTTAAATGCAACCTTAATTTTGAAGCTGGTTTTCTATACGTTTCTTTTAAAAACTCCCCAAAACTCACTTCAAAGCTATGATTGAATTCAATAATGAAGATAAAATGTTAAATAGTTCTGGCCTCAGGAGTGAGATCATTCCTTTTTCATTCTGTCCTTGCAGCTATGTTATACTGAAAGAATTACTACTAAAGAATACCTATTAAATGATCTTCAAGATGCCTTTAACAACCTTAGGTTGCCTTTTAGCAGAAATCTTATCTCAAGTTTCTGAGGAGTAGGAGTGTTGAGACCACGGACAATATAAATACGGACAATTCATCTGTTGGTGTGATCTCCTAACATTCTGCTGTATTTGTGCACATCTAGGTTGTCACTAAATCTTAATATACATAGCAAAAACAAGACCCATCATTTCTGACTGCAGCCCTTAGCACTGTGATCTGTGGCTATAGGATTGTGATAATGGGTTCTGCATTCACTGGAGGGCTTGTTTGCTTCAAGGCCTCCTGGACTTGCTTAAGAACTTCACACCTGAGTCTATGGGGCTGTACAGTGAGAAGTAGATTGACCATAGGGAAAAGCATATTGCAAACTGTAAAGAGACTGAGATGCTGTATAGTGCTATTGCAAATTCTATTTTAGTTCAGTACCGAGCCCAATGCTGAAATTAAGAGCACCGACACTCAGCGTCCACCTTGCCACCTCAACACCCACTCTATGTCCCATTGATACCTTGCTCCCAGCTCTATGACCTTCAACATCTAGAAGAAAAGAAGCAGCAGTATCATGGGAAAACATCCAAGTTTCGCTCTCAGTCACTCATATCCTGATTTGGAGTGTATAGGTCAAAATCCTGGAATTCTTTACCAGATTACATTATGGGAGCTCTATCTCCACAAGGACTGCAGTAGTTTAAAGAGAAGATCCATCATCACCTTCTCAGAGCATCTTGGGAACAGCAATAAATGTTAGCCTCACTCATATTGTGAGGCAGAACAAAAAACATACTCTAATAACAAGCATCAGTTCAATGAGCACCATGATCCATATACATCAGATAGTCATTTGTGAACACTAAGATCCATGTATATTGGAGACAAATTGCCCCAACAATGTGCCTCAATGGTTAAGCTGAACAAACAGCTTGAGGTTTGCATTTTATTAAACTATTTAATTGATGTTATGAAACATAAACTAAATCAACTCAAATGCGTTTGAATTGAATAAACTTTACTAGAGTAAGATTCAAAACAGCTTTCCTTGGAGTATTCCCTTAACTCAAGCATAAATAAGTAATGCAAAACCAAACATCAAAGAGACATGGAGAAGACACGGTGGGAGTTGAAAAATAATATATCAAGTGAGGAGGATCATGTAACATTTCAGTGTCAGTTCACTTTAAAAGTTAAGTTAAACTGATGTTTCACGTACCAGCAATTGTTGAAAATTGTGGTCTAACTTCACAAATATCAATTGGTGTGATCAACCCCCAATAACAACATGACAGGTTGGCCCAAATCTGGCTGAACCCTCTGGCTGCAGTGCTTGTTGTCACCCACAAAGCACAATGTTTCAGTGCCATTTCAAGTTGATGTGTCTTAACTAAGATAATTTCACTGCCAGTTCACAGAATACCAGTGAAAATCAACTTTTAAAGTTAATTGTTATTGGAATGCATTCATGAGGCAGAAGGGAAATAAAGGGGTATGAGAGAGGTGTTTAGGAGGGGTGGACGCTCGTGTGAAATATAAACACCAGTATGGTCTGGTTGGGTTGAGTGGCCTGTTTCTGTGCTATGTAATTCTATGGAAATGCCTCCCTCCAAGTCCAGTGTTTGATGTCTGTGTAAATGGCTTCAAGACCATGTTGTGCAGACTGGATTGGAGGTGGTCACGACAGCAGTGGAGTTTCCAGTGACATGATCATATCACCAGTGATAGTTCAATGTTTTGCTTTTCACCCTGATATGTGCTGCAAATGTACGACCAGAAAGATACCTGTCAGAAACCTTGAGGCAATTATACACCAAGAAAATAGTAAGACAGGACTCACTGGAACAGGCACATGAATACTTCATGGCTCCTGTCACTTTGAGCTCTCCTGTGAGTTTTGTGTTTCTAGTTATAAGCCATGCGGGACTGAAGGAGGGCCTAACTACACAGGGTAAGATAGAGTGATGGAGAGGAAGCTCAGAAAGGTCGGACTTTTTAATGAAATGCTTCCTTGTTAAGAAAACTACAGTTTAAATCCCAGATTGCTATCCTCTCAGGTACGGCATCTATTAACATGCAATTCCTATTTATCGTTTTAGAAAAATGACAGAAAGGAAGTGCAGTAGCTTCAAAGGTGAACGTCCTCTCCTTTTCTACATTGCGCGGGACTGAACAACATCAAAAATGGTAAAGCATAATGTACTTACCACATACTTCCTCAATATTTATGTTACTGAAATGAAAACAAAATAAATAGCTTTAGTATTATTTTATACGCAAGTCATCATTGGTATGAAACAAAATATTAAATATTTATAGTTTGGTGGAGTAAGCCATACATTATTGCTACAATTCCATTTAAAATGTCTTCTGCAATATGTATTTTCCAATTGCTAAAACAAGTGACAGTAATAATTCAATGACCTCCAAATATCAAAGTCATTTTGCCATTAGAAAACTACTTGCAATTTTTTTTAAAAAATCGTAAATTGTATTAAAATCAATCATTTTTTGTTTCAAATGACAATAAGTGAATTACTCTTTTTAATTCACAAATGAGAAATGAATAAAGGAGGCCCTTTGGTGGATTTGATCTCATTATGGTACAAAAAAATATAAAATATTTATAGATTGGTGGAGTATGCCAACATTATTGTTACAGTTCCATTTAATGTTACAGTTCTACTTCGGTTGTTAGTTGATTGGAGGATTGCTTTTCCGGGTGTAATAATTCCTTCAAAATAATAATAATAAATTGGTCACTTCAATCCATGACTGTTTGTGGGACATTGCTGTGTGCAATTGGCTGCGCATTTTGCTCACAAAATATAGTCAATTCACTTTACAGTGTATTCTGTGAAGCACTTTAAGATGTCTCGAAGACGTGATAAGGCACGATCAAATGCAAGGATTATTATTATTATTATAAAATACCTTCCCTACGGGCTTCTCATTAAAACATCGAGATATTTCTTAAATAATTTCAGTGTCCTGGCCTGGACCATCCTTTCTGGTCTGTTCCATCTGTTCATCATTCTTTGTGTAAAGAAACAATTCCTGGTGTCTGTCTTAAAATTGCTCACAACAACCCCAAACCTGAGATCTTTTGTCCTTCTGCTTTGGCATATCTTAAAGTATTGTTCAGATTTCTTATCTCTGTCCTGTCAAATATACGGAAATATATGGACTAAAAAAAGGCATAATCTGATGATTATTACATCCTTTTCTTTTCTTTTGGTCAGTAGTCATCATGATAGCCATATGACAGTTCACAGAGTGGGCTGTTTCTGAGCCTTCTACAAAGTGGCAGTCTTTAATTGAGTGTACTACAGAACAGGCTGTCTCTAACTGAGCCTATTACAGTAATCTCTCTTATTCAAGAATGCTACATAATACAGTAAAAATCATATTTTGTCCACAAAATACAGTCACTCCACTTTACAGTACATCCTGTGTAGCACTTTGAGATGTCTTGATGATGTGATAAGGCACCATTACAAATTCAAGGATTATTATAATGAATAACCCTTTTTATTCTTGTGCTCTTTTACAATAAAACCCAAGAAATATTTCTAGTCATCAACAGGAGCTTGTGTGCTTTTGTTCAAGAAACTGATTTGAGCTGATGCTTCTCTTTGTAAGATCTTTGTTGCTTCTTTTGATTCTGGTTCCTATTAGCGAGAGTGCTATCCAGTGAGCCAAGCTGACCCTGGCTGGTAAGGACAGAAAACAAACTATCATTTGTGGTGGTGTGTGTGTATATAAAAAAAAGGTTCTGATCCCTATGTTTATCAATTAAATAACAAAATAGAAAGAGAAGAACAGGGAAGGCCTTGTGAGTAAACCTCATAGGAATAATACAGCCGCACAGAAAAGCAATCTCAATGCAGGAGCACTAAACCTGGGCTATGTTATTGCATTTTTGAATAGTGCTGATCCACTTTGGTCCACTAGGGTTTCTATCACAAAAATATAATTTTGAAGAACCATAGGGACCTTTAAAATGGAATAGCTTTGTGCTGAATTGCAATGCCAGTGCTTGATAGAAATTCTATTGACTGAAAATTAGTTATTGCAAAAATGTCACTGACTGCAGCTGATTGATGGTGACAAGAATAAAGTGGACCGATTGTGATGGAACCAGCACAAGTCCATGTCTCAGTGGCTGACACACTTAAAATTTTTATTTGATTACATCATAGAATTATACAGCACAGAAGGAGGCCATTTGGCCCATTGTGTCCATGTCGGCTCTATGAAAGAACTGTCCAAATTAATCCCGCCATGGCTCTGCAAACTTGTCCTCCCTAAATAATTATTTACTTCTCTCTTGAAAGTTGTAGTTCCTGGGTTTATCCTTCTCTCTCTTTTTGTAAAGGGGAGTAACATTTGCAACCCTCCAGTCCTCTGGCACCACTCCAGTGTCCAAGGAGGATTGAAAGATTGTGGTTAGCGCCTCCGCTATTTCCACCCTTACTTTCTTCAGTCACCTAGGATGCATCCAGTCTGGACCGGGTGGCTTATCTACTTTGAGCATCAACCTTTTAAGTACCTCCTCTTGGTTTATTCGTATCCTATCCAATTTCTCTACCTTCTCCTCCGATACTGTGGCATTGGCTGTATCCTCTTCTTTTGTGAAGACAGATCGAAAGTACTCATTCAGTACGTCAGCCATGCCCTCTGCCTCCACAGGAAGATTTCCTCTTCGGAAATCACACATCTCTTTTTCTCTCCAATGAGTTTGAACATGTTTTTGTCTACTTTGGGTACATGCATTGATATCTAGCCTGGACTGCTAGGAGAAGGATACTGACAAAAGTGTTCTGAGTATGCAAATTTTCAATTCAGTCTCTAATGAGTGCTTGTCCACATCACACAACTGCATACCATTTGACACGAAGAGCAAAATTAACAAACTGCTTCTTAATGTTAGCGACTATTGCATTCCTTGCTTACAACAGATGTCAGCCTGATTCAATTAATGGCATTCATGCCAGAAGGTTGCGGTTCCAGCCTCTCATTTGTACTTCAAACTCACAGTCTAATTGGAAGTGTGCTGCATTGTTAGAGGTGCTGTTCTTTGGATGACAGGTTAATCCAAGGTAGTTTTTTGTTTATTCAGTTGGACATCAAAGATCCCACAGCACAATTCAAATATAAAAGGAAGTTTATCTGAGTGTCCTGTCCAACATCCCCCAAATAAAATTCGTCATCCACTTAATGTCTATTAAATTGTGTCAATTTGTACACATTGTTGTGTGCAAATTGGCTGCTGCATTCATCTACAAATATGCAGTCAGTATAGCTGCATTTATTTGACAGTAAAATCCTGTGAAGTACTTTCAGACGTCTTGATGATGTGATGTCTCAATGATACTTGATCAAACGCAAAGATTATTATTATTCCAATAGTTATAGATATGAACTGTGGGAGTGATGTGCAACACATTATTTTCCCTAATTAGCATCCAATTGGTGTTTTTGAGGTAACTAGTGTGAAATTGGAAGATTCACACTTGTGCATTAGGAGATAATGCTGTGAGGTTAGGCTTGGGAGAGAGTAAAGGGAACTGCATTATATATCTAGCTGTGCTATCACTGAACCTGGGTATATTTGACGCTTACACTGGATGCAATATATGAAAAGGTGGTGGCGTTGTCAATACAATTTACATTAAGATAGCTTCTTTCACATCAGGTAGACTTCTCAAAGTGCATACACTTCTAAATTTCTAATCTTCGTGAGTAAAATATTTTGCTCATGGAGCGATCTTATCATAGAGTTTGACTTTTAAACAATGAATTGCTTTAACTTGTGGTTCCTTCTGCTGCTGGTTTTAAACACTGTGAAACCACTCAAAAAGATTTCTTGCTGTTTTTTTCCTATTAACATACTTCCTAACTCACCATGGTGCTTTATGATTCTTCCTGCGTTTATTTTATTTGCATCTGTTTAACAACTGTGACATCGGAGGAATGTTACTGCAGCTCATTGTGCTCTGCAGACAATTGAAAGTGTGCACTGTGCAGCGATGTGCAGAGACAAAATCTAACTTCTGGGAGCAAGGTTGAGTGATCAAGGTTAATTTCTGTTGTGTGTTCTACTAAAGGTCACCAATAAAATATATATCATATATAATATATAATAAATAATCATCCTTGCATTTCATGCAGCATCTATCACATCTTCGAGACGCCTCAAAGCGCTTCACAGAATATACGGTAAAGTGAATTGACTGTAAATTTGTGGGTGAAACACGGCAGCCAATTGCGCACAGCAGTGTCTCACAAACAGTCATGGATTGAAGTGACCAATTTGGTTTGAGAGCAGGATAACACAGAGCTGGGATGTGGAGGTGTGGTAAAGTTAGAAGGTGGATATTTAAGCCAATCCACAGGGGAATAGGGAGCTAATAGAGCTTGGCGAGGATGAGGTGTTGGACTTGTGGAGTATGGTATGGGAAAGCCTAGGATTGGCCAGCATATAGTGTATGGGTTTGTGTTTGCGTGGTTTCCAGGCGTTTGTTTGGGTAAACATGTGAGCGAACGGTGCACATCGGGGCACCATCCAAAAGCGGCAAGTGCACCTTATTAGGGTGTGTGTGGATGCGCACATGGATGTAGTGCACACAGGGGCGATTCCCGACCGTCTTAAAGGGAGCGTCCCCCAAAAATATGTGCACGTTCTGTGTGCTGTAAATCTGTCCACGCTCTCCATGAAGAGGGGAGGGATAGGGACGTGAGGGGTACAAGACCCTGTTTCTAACTGCGCCCGGCAAATGGCGGCAGAACCACGAGGCGGGGAAGCCTTGATCGCTCCACCAAAGTGGAATGCACAGAGGCCATCCCACTCGCCACAGGGGGCCGGGTCTGTTGAGTTCTGTAACAGGATGATAACATATTGTACCTTTTTTTCTGTAACAGGTTTGATACTGTTTGAGACAAGTGTAAATATATATCGACAAATACAAATATATATTTTGTTTAAAAAAAGTATGGCAAAGGATAGAGGCTATGGATAATCTGGACTGACAACATGACTGGTTAATAAACAATCTGGTAAGGAGAACAGAAGAATCATAAATAGATAACATAGTCAAAAATAACCACAATATTTATAGCAGTTGTGTGCATCATTCATTTACTTGCTGTTAATTCCTAATTAGTGTCGCTACCTTCCATATGAAATGAAGGCTGCTGAGTAGCCAGTAAACATTCACACTGCACAAGTGT